GAGTTACAGCAGGAGGGCTGGGAGCCAGGACTCCTGGGTTCCCAGGGGCAGAATGGGCTGGAGAGAGGTCCGGACAGGGGACCCTGGCCCTGGGGGTGCTAAGGGTGATGGGGTCCCTGGCTCGGGGAGAGGGAGGGGGGGGTGTCTCTGATCACGTGGGGGGAATTCCTGCGGGGCGGGGGAACCCGATTCTTACCTGGTTCCGATGGGGGATTCCCAGCTGGGGGGGGGTCCAAACCCCTCCTGTTCTGCCCCACTCGTGGGGCGGGGGAGGGTCCCAGGCCCGGTGGAGGGAGGGTCCCGGAGGTTCCGGACCCCACCGGCTCCAATCTCCCCACAAAAGTTTTTTTTCTCCTAACTCCCAAAAAAAGTTTTTTTAATGGACCCCTCGGTGACGTCACCACATTCCAGAGGAGACACGTGGGGATGGGAATTCCTACCACTTCCTGTGGGGGGGCATGGGAGGGGCAGGGTAGGACTCCTGGGTTCTTCCCCGGCTCTGGGAGGAGATTGGGGGCTGGGAGCCAGGACTCCGGGTTCTCTCCCGGCGCTGGGAGGGGGGGTGGGTTACAAGGGGGGGGGCTGGGAGCCAGGAGAACTGGGTTCTCTCCCCGACTCAGGGAAGGAACTGCCTGGCTCACGGGTGGGGAATTGGATACAGGGCCTTGGCCTTTCCCCTTCCAGGAGCGTTGGCTCCCATCCGGTCCCGGGTCAGGGACTGGCCGGCCAGCCCAGCTCTGGGGCCCTGGCTCCCCTCCAGCCTTATCAGGAAAGTCTGAACAGCTGTTCGACTGGGGCGGGGTGATCGGGGGTTATGGCTTCTTGTCCTGGCCCGTCAGGCCGGGCACTGCCCATACACAGAATGAAAGACCCTGATCCTAAAAACTGACAGTCTAAAGAGATACAGGAGGGGAAACTGAGGCACAGCAGTAAGGGATAGACCCTACATCACATAACAAAGCTGGGGAGAAAACCCAGGAATCCTGGCTCCCAGCCCCCCCTGCTCTAACCCACCAGCCCCCACTCCCCTCCCAGAGCTGGGGAGAGAACCCAGGAGTCCTGGCTCCCAGCGCCCCCTGCTCTAACCCACCAGCCCCCACTCCCCTCCCAGAGCTGGGGAGAGAACCCAGGAGTCCTGGCTCCCAGCGCCCCCTGCTCTAACCCACCAGCCCCCACTCCCCTCCCAGAGCCGGGGAGAGAACCCAGGAGTCCT